GAGGGAGGGAGGGAGGGAGGGAGGGAGGGTTGGTAGAGTGCACACTCACGCTGATAGCTAGGTAGTCTGTCTTGTAGAGCTTGATACGGCCGTCTTCGCTAAAGTTGTGAACGACGGGATCGGGGTAGAGATGAAACTTGCCGAACTGCACAGCGGAGAGATTGCGGAGACTTGTTACCCCGTCCATGATGAACCCATAATCCACCTGTGTACGAAGAACAAGCGGCTCTTTATGGCAAAGTTTTTTTCAGATGATGATGATGATATCAATGATGGTGATGATGATGATGGTGATGTTGATGATGATGATGATGATGTTGATGATGATGATGATGATGATGATGATGACTATGATGGTGATAATGATGATGATGTTGATGATGATTACGATCATAATGATGATGATGATGATGATGATTATGATCATAATGATGATGATGATGTTGATGATGATTATGATCATAATGATGATGTTGATGATGATGATGATGATGATTATGATCATAATGATGATGATGATGAACAGGGTGACGACATCCTAACTTAACAACAATTCGAGACCCGTTTTATAAACAGATATATATATAATAAATAACCATTGCAGCGATAACTGCCCTCTACCCCCTCCCCCTCCCCTTCCCTCAGTCCCTCCTCTGCCCAAACTCACCGCTCGAGGTTTGTCACCAGAGGGCGCTTTGCTCTGTGGGAAGGTCGGCGTCTTGCACGTCATCATCGTGTCGTTGGCGACGACGCAGGGATGCGAGTACTCCTCGTCGTCGATGGCAACGAGAAGCTGCGGATGCTGAACGACGTCGAGGTTTTCGCCGCGTACGAACACCTCCAGACCCCCGCTGCGCGAGAAACAAGAGAACATCAGGCACGCGAGGGGGCAACGTCAGCGTATTTTGACAGTTACTACGATAAAGCATTCTTAATTTTGCTGCACTAATTCTACCCAGACATAAAAATTACTTTAAACAAAAACAAAAACAATGACCAAGAATTCACCAAGATAGATCTATTATCTACCAACCGAATAAACTTATTTAATGATAAACAATGACATATAATCGCAGCGCTGTCACCTCGCAGCGGTACCCACCTTGGTATGCCCCCCCCCCAGCTCTCTCCCAGTGACACAAACACTTCAAGTCTTAATTAAAACATTCATTAAAACATCAACATCGTCATTTTTGCGGTTACCCCCGTAAAAAATTCGGAACTTTGCCACACTACTATTACTAAAAAAAAACCTTCACAAAAAAGTACTGTAAACAAAAACAATGACATACAAAAGCAGGGGTCACGCACCTGGGTACGCCTCCCGGCTCTCTCCCGCTGACCGCTGACTCGGTGGCGTTGACGACCGGATCATCCGTGTAGACGAACGCCAACTCCTCCCCGCCGCCGCCGCCGCCGCCGCGCGACGCCCCGTCCAAGGTCACCGTCAAGGTCGCCGCTCCCGCGACCTCTGCCGCCGCCGTCACGCAGACGACGTGCGTCGCGTTGCGCGCCACGACCTCGCACGCGCTGCCGGCGCCCCCTAGCGAGACGGTGGCGCCCCCTGTGCTGTCAGCGACGCCGCCTGCTGCATCCCCGATGGCAGCGCCACCTAGCGTGACGGCGACGCGGGACCCAGCGTCCAGGTGGCGCCCCTCGACGGTCAGCGTCGTGCCGCCGGACATCGGGCCGCGGCGCGGCCGCACGGTGGCGACCTCTGGGTCGACGTACGCGTACTGCTCCCGCGACTCGGCCACGTGTCGGCTGTCGCCGCGGACGGCGACCCGGACGTGACCTCGCGTGACCCCGCCGCGTGACCTCCCCACGGTGCAGACGACGCGGCGCGCGGGGATGTATGCGTCGCGGTGCGCGCCGCAGTCGCACGCGCTCGCTCCCACCGTCACGTACGGATCGACATCGTCGAACGCGAGACCCAGGTTGTAGCCGTCGATGACGACAACGGTGCCGCCCTCTATCGGACCCGAGCTCGGCGAAAACTGCGGAGACGGAGAAGCGCGGAGATTGTGAGTTGAAGTCGGACGCTTTCGGCATTTCGTGTCGGTAGATTTCATTTCAAGATTTTACCGAGTTCTCTTCCTACATCTAGGTGATTACAATGGAAAACTGTTTCTGGGATTTCTGAAGTTGGATATGTACTTGAGTCTTGACACGAGACAGTTGATTTGAGACAACAACACTTGTTGATTTAGTTTAATTGTAGTTTAATTGTTTAATTATAATAATTAATTAATTAATTATAATAATTAATATTTAATTAATAGTTTAATTGTAGTCGCAGTTAATAAATACTACGATTGAAACAAGAATGAAACGTACAGAAATTGTAAAAGCGTACAAAAAATGGTGAATAACAAAACATGGTAAATTGTAAATAAAAAAAGACATTGTAAATGAAAGAGAGAGTAATTAACCAGCCTAGCTGTCATCACCGCAGTGATCATGTGAAATTCGGTTAAATGACGGACGTACGGACGTAATGGTTGGATTCGGACAAATCGTGTCGTTGCTCAGACTGAACCAGTCGGCTGGCCGGCATTGTTTCTCCGTACTGCAGGTGGCGCCACCGCACCAGCCGCACGCGTACATGGCGTCCGTGCGCAGACACTCGCCGCACTGGCGTCCCATCTTCTCACACTTATACACGCTCACTGCACGAAGAAATATAGATGTCAGCACTGTACCACAGCGTGAGCACTTGTACACGCTCACTGCTAGGAAGAAATATATATGTCAGCACTGTACCACAGCGTGAGCACTTGTACACGCTCACTGCTAGGAAGAAATATATATGTCAGCACTGTACCACAGCGTGAGCACTTATACATGCTCACTGCACAAAGAAATATAGATGTCAGCACTGTACCACAGCGTGAGCACCTATAGGAGGCGTATAACAGTAAGCCTCCGCAATTGTTCACCGTTGCACTACTTCGTCTCTAGAAAAGGCCTTTTTTGGCATTTTTTTTCGCCGAAATTCGGCACTAGAGTGCAATAATTAGCATTATGCACGCAAGTTGGATGCCTCGTGGACGTGGAGAAAGCATTAGAAGTAAAATTATTTTTGTTTTGTATTCGTGAGATTCCGTCAGGTGGCGTAGTCAGAGCGACCGGTTTGTGATTTTTGTGTATGAAATGTGTTCAGACAACTTTGTAGAAATTCGCATCATAGAGCTGGCAAAAGTTTCGAGGGGAGCATAGAGCATGAATCTGTAGTTATTTAACATGAATAAAGTGTATGTTTTGTAAGTGCAGTAACAGTGCGAGTATTTTTAATTAATATCTGTTCGATGCTTATTCAGGCCTGCAGCCTATGGACGGCCTCTACTGTATAGCAACACCTATACATGCTCACTGCACAAAGAAATATAGATGTCAGCACTGTACCACAGCGTGAGCACCTATACACGCTCACTGCACGAAGAAATATAGATGTCAGCACTGTACCACAGCGTGAGCACTTATACATGCTCACTGCTAGGAGGCATATAGATGTCAGCACTGAGCCATAGCTAAACACAGGTGTCAGCACTGTGCCACAACGTGAGTACTTAGTTACGCTGAGAGGGTCTATGTCCCACAGGGTACTGCCGGAACGTACCCTGGTACTAAATACTACTATCTAATATACCGGACCGTACCTCGCCTACTCCACTAACGAGTCTAGAGAGTCGCCAACGCCTACTCCCTAACCCTAACCCTAACTCTAGCCCTAACCCTATAACTCTAGCCCTAACCCTAACCATATCAGCTAGATAGTTACCAGGGTACGTTCCGGTATACCGGACCGTACCCAAGGTACAGTCCGGCTGGGTACGTTCCGGCAGTACCCTGGGGGACATAGACCCTATGAGGATTAGTTACAGCTAAACATAGACGCAGGAGTGTAGCTAACTTATTTTGTCAGAAGGTGGTTTGGGGAAGAAGACAGCCATAATTAACCATGTATTGTACCTCCTTTTTTCTAGGGGAACAACTGCCCCCTTGCACCCCGCTGAGCTACGGGCCGGCAGATGTCAGTCCTTACTCACAGTAAAACATATCAGTGTCAGTACTGCATTATACATTAATCAGTGTCAGTACTGCATACATTAAAGGCAATGATAAATTGCTACACTCAACATAAGAAAAGTACCACGTACACATGCACTCACGCACACGCATATGCGCGTGCACACAAACACACACATACACAAACACAAACACGAACACGAACACGAACACGCACACGCACGTGCACACACACACACACACACACACACACACACACA